TGACTTTGGATGACTTAATGAAACTTCCCAGGTAATACATCCTATTAAGCCTAGTCTGAGTGAAGTAAGCATGCTGTTGTAACTGTTGCATACTTTTAGTTCAGGTTTTGTGAGGCCTGCTTTAGGCAGTAGGGAAAGCATGGCAGTTGATTGGCAGGTCGAGCAGGCAAACATCCAGTTAGTTACGATGACGTTGTTTGGTTATGGGAAACATTAGATCCCTCTAGAGTTGTGTTCTCAGGAGGGCTGTTTGCTGCTGGTCAGTTTTCCCATTATTGACCTTAGAAACAATAATCAGTTTCAAATTAGCTACGTTCATTACTGAATTCTCCTTGGTTCATGGTCAGAGTCCAGAGGCTGAGGGAGGGTTTGGAAATATCCAGGAGCACAAGAACGTACTTGGGAAGCAAAGAGAACATATAGCACGGATGCAGGGTGCTTCTGGGGGGTCCTCCTCTTGCTGCCACGCACATGATCACAGTGCTCGCTTCTAGGAACGGATCTGCAGAGCAAAAGATCTTCCGAGCCAGCATACTGATGTGGATGCACTCTCTGCGTGGCCAGAACTTTCTCCCCGAGGTTCCCTCCCACCCCCTTACCCCCTCCCAGGGGCTCATCACTTCAGGCCCCGCTCTCCTTCCGAGAACTGCCGGGGGAGCATGGTGCCAGGGTGGCAAGTGGCAGGAACCACGTCGTTGCCTGCGATAAGTCAGGAAGGGCAAGTACAGGGCAGGGCAGATTGGCCTGGCTTAGAGATGAGGTGTGTGGGTACCCCGGGCAGCAAAGAATGAGGAGGAGCTGGGAGCCAGAACTGGGGCCCTAAGGAACAAGGTGTTGTACAAGGGCATGTGCTCAATGTTTAAATGCAAATGTTTTTACAGAAACTTTTGCTATTCAGGCAATTGTCATTACAAAGCAAACCCGTTCTTACGCTAAGGAAACTGCTGGGTTTTGATTGCTTTTGACATTAGTATATGAGCTTTCAGTGTAATGGTAATGTACGTTGCAGCTTTACAGTCTCAGGGAGAAAAGCTGAATTGGTATTACAGATAACTTCGCAGGAAGTTAATTTTGTTATTTAAATATACTTATTGAAAGCAAACAAACAAAAATCAATGACTAAATAGTATGTGATCAGGAATTAATCAACGCTTTGTTGTTTTGTCAGATAAATGGGCTGAACCTGTTAATGTACTGCCAAGGTGTGTCTTTTCTTAGCTAGCCAGTATGGTTTCTCTACAAATTTTTGCCGGTTGCCCTGGCTATGTTGTCAAGCTGGGAAAGAGGTTGGCAATAGCTGCTGTTCGAGGGTGGACCAGGAATTACAGCTCTGCAGCCATGGACATTTGAGAAATTCCAAGGAGGAATACGAGCCTGAGTAAAGGCTTGTTTCTTTTGCTGCATGACTCCTAAACTTGTCTAAGGAGCTGATTGATAACAGATGCACCTACCTGCCTTTCTGTTTTTCTTGAAGCATATTGTTTTTCAGCAACAGGATTTTTCCTGTGATCTCCCCAGGATGTTGTCTCTCTACTGTGTATGCTCCTGGTCAGCATTATCTGTGGAATAAAGAGGCTCTGGAAGTCTACTATCCCTTGTTGAACCTGTTTCTCCCCTTAATCTGCATCAGTCCTTCGGCAGTTATGGAGGCTGTGTTTTTCTAGGACCCTCTGTTGAAGGAGAGATTGTTAGATTTGCTCAGTAACATGAAGGAGAAGGAACCTGGGAATCCCTGAGACTTCCTTCCCTGCAGAAAGGTCTTTCAGATAGCAGACAGAGGGTCTGCCTGCTTCCAGACACCTTGCTCTGGGTAACTGCCATTTCTGCAGGGATGCTGAATTGCCAGGGGTTGCCTGTGAGTCCTATGAAGGGGGAACTGATATAGGGGATCTTAAAGTATGAGCACTGGAACAGTGCAGTCAGTGTTAAACTTAGGACATAATGTCCCCAGCAGTGACAAAAGCCCAGGTACATGCAGTTGCATGTTCCCAACCACATGTACTGGGAAGATCCAAGGGCATTTCTTAATGGGGTGAAGATAAGAAAAGCATGGGAACCTAAGAAAATTACGTGGAGGGATCAGATGGATCCAGGAGGCTAAAAAGGCCATTTTTCTATGGGTAATATATATATATATTCAGAGGAAATTAGAAATTTTCCCTTGTCTGAAAGCTGAAGAAAAGCAAGCTACCATTAAAAGCCTGTTCCTTTGTTATGCTAAGCCACAGAAGAAAAGAGAACTCTGTTCCTTTTAAGAGAAAAAAGTAAAGTTCAAGCATTTGCTCAAGGGAAAAAAGCATACTTTTTAGAGTAAAATGCAGTAGGACATCCCCCTTTCCTTGCTGTACTCATCTTGACTCTTTGGGAATCTCTCAACTCGAACCTCTGGCTCTCCACACTGATGCCTGCCCTGCCTTAACACTCTACTCTCTGCTTGCGCTTCAGAGGTGGGTCTCCTGTTCCACTCCAAGTGTAAGTATTTTGAGGGAATTATGTTATTCAGCCAACACAAAAGCTGAGTTTTCACAACAGTTTGGCGGTGGAAATATGAATGAATATGACAAAAGTAACACTTCAATTGTGGTAGAGTATGTACACTTTCATTACAGGCGCAAGAGAATAAATAACAAGCAACTCAGTGCTATGGCATCACTATGGATGTCAACCAGCAGAGCATTCTCTCTGCAATCTCCTCTCATATGCTTCTCATGATGATATATTCATTAAAAGCAAATAGCTTTATGATCAATAGTCACTCTGTCTGTAGGTCATATAAAAATAAATGGTAGGCCCTCCCAAGACCTGCTGTACCAGAGAAATGAGAGGTACAAAATATTCCTAAACTTGCGCAGGGCCTTTGGCTTCTAGAATTACATCCTGCTTTGACAGAAACTGCAGCTATTAATGGCTTCTCACATAATACAAGAGAATTACTTGAGCAGGATTGTTTATTCCCAATCCTACCAAAAGCTCTGGGTGAGCCCAGTTTAGTCAGGTGTTAAATATGATTAACTGCAGTGGCTTTGGGTGGCTTAACGTTTTTTTTTTCCAACACCTAGTTTCTTACAGTGCTGCAATACATGAGGCAATCTGAAGATAATACAGCTATTGATTTTTTAAAATGACACAAGTGCATTTAATGGAAAATACCAGTACACAAAAAGCATGTATGATTATTATCTGTATGTAAGATAATGTAATAGACATAATACAAAAGTAGCATTCTTATTACGAGACTAAAGTGTTTAAGTTTGCCATGTAATTGCAACTGATAATAGTGGGGGGCTATACAAAGGTTGAAGCCATTCTAAAATTGTGTCTACACAGATCTTAGGTGCTACATTGGTTCAAAAATCAATAGGGGCAACAAATTCCTTATTCTCTGGATTTCATGCTACATTTCTGGGAGTCACAACTGGCTCTCATACAACGCCTTAAGCCTGTCAGTTAAATGGCAGACTATCTTCCTGTCAGACCCTATCTCCAACGGGACTTCTGTCAAGGAATGGCAAAGCGTGTGCACAAATTTGGCATTCTGAGCGTTGGGATTGTTTAGCTCTTCTGGGGCATGTTGCTCCCTACACTGATTTAACACAGCGTGTGAGAATTTATGCAAATGGCTGCAAGGTATTTATGTCTGTCAGGGACACACCTTGGACCAGCTGCTGAGTATTCCCACATTTTCTGCATAAATACAGTAGCAGTAGCAGATAGGCATCGCACCGAGATCTTGTGAAGGCTCAGCGTCTGTGATCCCCAGCACAGCACAGCCACACGTTGATCTGCTTGAACTCAGGGCAGTGAGAAAAGCAGGTCAAATGCGCTGTGCCAGGAGGTGAGATAATCTGTTTTCAAAAAAAAGGGATATACCACTCCCTTATTTTCTATCAACAAGGATGATGGTGCAAGGTGGCCTCTGCTATGCAAGGCAGTGCAGCGCCAGTGAGATCGGCTGCAGCCGACCCACCCAGAGTACCAAAAGGCCCAGTTGTTTTGAGCTGCTGAATGCTACGGAGTCATGTTTTGTCAAACCCTTTCCGAGACAGGGCGTATGTCAAGTTTTCTTTGTGTCCTGACTTCTAACAGGAAGCATTAGTTTTTTGCTTTAGGGGTAGTTTGTCTTCAGATTCCTCCTCATGGGTTTCTCATTCCTGAGCTGCGAAACTGTACGTTTTCCATCAAACTTCCTCTGTTATGCAAAGTTATTCTGAAGGAAAACCAGGGAAGAGTAGTGGCAACCCCATTAACTCTAGCAGGATTAAATAATTACTATGGCTGTCAGTGTGCAGTCCCAGAATTTGCCTCTACTCTGAGATACCCTTACACAATATACTATCATTATCAGATATCAGCTCCTGCCACCTCTTTTTGGTACCTGTCTGTCAAAATGCTTTTACTCCAGTAAACTGAACCTTGGCGAGAAAAAGTAGATAGATTCACGTCTTAATGTACAATCTTTCTTATTTCTCATCTAAAATTTTTTTAATACTGTATCTAAATTATTTAAATTAAGAAATTAAGCTTTTTGCCTGCGTATGCTGGGCTTGCTATTTTTTATATTAGTAGGCTCTTTCTTTTCTATATTAATTACAGTGGAGCTTTCAGAATGACTTAAGCCTCAAATCCTCTGGCTAAGAAAGATATCTGAGTTTGCTACTACCATGCAGAAATTGTCCCACAGGATGAAATGATTGGATTTGGGTTTTTTTACAAGATTACAAAGAAGGAACCTCCTGCCAGGATCAGAGTGCTGCAAAATATTTGCATTCCTAAGACGTGTAGGGTGTCTAGGTGGAGCTTTTACCAAGTACTAAGCCACTTCTGAATTCTCTGACTCTGATGCTGTTTTGGGGAAGACTGCTGCTCAGTTCTTGCTCTGTTAGGGACCTGGGCGGTTGACAGCCACAGCGTGGGGTGGCTTGCCCACCATGTGGCCTCAGGCACCGGCAAGTGCTCAGATATGCTTTACTTACTTGTAACTATTGTTTCTCCAGGTCTGTTGTGCACGTGCATAGCTTTGCAACTCACTCTCTTCGGCAGGACGATAAATTCTGAGGATTTCATAATTCAAGCAAACTGAAAGGGAAGAGTAGACCCCTACGGCAGTATGTAAAGATGCAGAAGGCATGGTGCTGAACTGCACCAAAAGGTTACACTTCAGTCAATAATTCACCAGCTTTAAAACTGATGGCGTGCAACACTCCTATAAAGCACACTCACAAAGTCAGTGTACAGATAGAAGAATCAAAGCAGGTAAGCACCCTTACTACTGTTAATGCAATCGTGTGATTCGAAAAATATAACATATACAATTATTATGTATTTATGTATTCAATATATATTTGCATATAGTAATGACTTCTAGGTAGCTTTCTCAAGGAAGATACTTTTTAAATAAGGAGCATCATTTAGAAATATATTGGTTTATAAATACAATGTTGGGACTGAATGATTTTAATATCAGAAGTTATACATTTATTCTGCTGTTTCACATGTTTCAAGCTGTATCCTTTCAAATGCCCCAAAAGTGCTTTCAGGAGACCTGGCTGCAGCTGGGGGTTATTACCATCCCTCTGGGTGGCACTCTCTGTGCCACATGGCACAGGAACAACATAATAACTTACATCCTGTTCCTCCCAGCTACGGTGCAGCTTCGTTCGACCCTGCTCAGTAGGGTTTTTTGGTGTTCCTTTTGCCGCATTAGGCTAATAAAGGCCTCCTAGAGCTACTTAAAAATTGCACTATTTTACATTACAGTATAATTAGGTAATATTAAAATAAAATGGTCTTGTGACATGATAGAGAAAAGATGTAGATATCTTCTTTTGTGCTTATACATTGGCTCAAGATGCAACAAAACTTCCTGCTGCAGATTATGATGAAGTAACTTACTGTGTTGGAGATAAATTTATAGGGATATCACGTCAGTAAAAAGAACCACCTTGAGAATGCTATAAATACGTTTGCACAGGGAGGTTACCAGGTTAGCAGTACCGATTTCTGAATCAGCATAGCAAGTACAGTACACAAGGCTGTGTGCAGTCAGGGTTTTAGGATGGTTTACATCTGTTTATGCTGGTTCAGCCGCCAGCAGGGCAGCAGACTGCTGTTTTCTCAGCACAGCTGGAATAGAGGAAGATACAACACCTCGTTGCTCGTCACCGTCCAGCAGCAGGTTGCTGCACCCGCGGCTGCTGCGGAGGTGCTCCTCGGTCCCCCCCGGGACACCCCGCTGGCTCCACGGGACCCACTGGGGAGCAGCCCGGCAGAGCTGTGGGTGGGAACGGCCCCTCGCAGAAGGTCAGTGAGGAGCAGCAACGACTCTGAATGGAGCAACTGTTTGCAAACGGAACTTGTGCTTATGGCCTAAACGGACGGTCATAAACCAAATGGATAAAAAGTAGTTTTCGGTCAATATAAGAGAAACCAGGCGCAAAAATTGAACTTGTTTAGTTAATACCACTTGCATTAGGTCCATACAGCTTCTGTACGTAGGAAAGAGCTCCTGAAGGGGATTTTACAGGATTTGGCCTGCTGAAAGCTCTGCAGTTGTCACAGCACAGCACTTAGATCTGCTTTTATACATGAGCAGTTTGAGCTGGGAAATCAAATTCCCCGTATTCTGGGGCTTTCCTCCATCTTTTATCTTTACTTTCAACATTGTTTCTCATATAGAGATGCAGAACTTCTCTATTAGGTCCTTTCTCTATGAAAGTCTATTACGTGCCCTGCTGTCTGGCCAATATGAGCTACAGTCACTGCGCATTGTTTGCTCATCAGTAATTTACCAAATTTATTCCCCTATTTTTCAGTTCATCCAGAATGGGTATAACCACCAGATTGCTTTCACGCATGAAGTTCTTAAACATCTTTTTGACACTAGATGGCTTTTTCTACCATTTCAGTGACCTGAAATACTTTCAATGAAATCTGAATTACTGACAGACAGAAATAAATTAGTTTGTAATGCCACTGGGTTCAGGTCATGTTCTTGTCTTCTCTCCATCAAAGTCATAACAAGATGAATTTGATGTCTGGCTCTTTTTTTCCCCCCTCACTTTTAATGTGTTCTGGGAGGGATAAGGAAGACATGTGGTATCAATATTTAAGTGATATCAAGGAAAAGAGATTACACACAAAAGAAAGTATGCAATTTTATCAGACTTCAGAACAGGTATCACATTACCTGCACTGTGCCAAAACCAGTTCTTTTTGTATCTGAATTAAAGTTGGATACAGTCTAGGATGTTGGAAATGTGAAAAAAGAATGCACTTAAAGGCAGAAAATGCACTCATACATACACAGCATATGATTCTCATCTGTGGATGTTCAGGTAGAAGATCTTTCATATGCAGGAAGTTCTAAAGGCAGTGAAAATCTTTAATTCAGTAGGGTTGTATAGTATGGACCTATGAATACTGTTTTTTTGTTTTTTTTTTTTTTTTTTAATTATTTTATTTTTGGTTTGGTTTGGTTTTTGTGTTGTTGTGGTTTTTTTTTTTTTTTTAATTTACAAGTAACCCCTCCTAGGTTCTGACAACAAACTATAATTTTATATGTTTGGGAAATGATGCCTAACTGCTGGAGCAGAGACATTTAACAAAGACTCATGTTCTGGCTCCTGAAATGTGATCCCAGTCCCTACTAATTTCTGTATTAACCTCAATAAATCAAAACAACTATAGTTGCTCTGCTGTGATGCCACTAAATAGCCTTGGAGATTTCTCTTGAATGTTGTAAATGATATGGAAACTCCCAAGACCAGTATTTTGCATATTGCTCAGACCTTCTGTCCTCAAACTTTATTTATAAACTACTGGGAATTGTATCTATTATATCATCAAAGGGTATTTCTCTGCAATTATAAGCCTCAGGAAACAGGGCTTAGTTGATATGCCGCTTGCCAACCCATCTTGTCAGACCCTCTCTAATAACTTTTGAACCCATGAGTTCATTTCAGTTACATTTGACGCAGAAATAGAAAAACTTCAGGCTATGAAATTCCTCGAAGTTTCATGAAACGTAACAGCTCAGTAAAGGAGAGATTACTTCCTTCAAATTATTACCGTGACTGAAAGGCTGTTGCCCAAGCTCAAAGGTTATTTATTATGTTTAGTTTGCTGGCAGCCAGCACATGCCTAGCTCAAAGCAGCCACATCCCTTTGGTTCTCACCCAGCTGGTAGCTGGGAGGCAGGAGGAGGGAGCTGTGGACGCTGGGGGAAGGGAAGATTGATGATGGGTAGGGAGCCTGCTCTGTGGACTCCGGGAAAGGATGAAGAATGGGATTCGGATCCAAAGCAGCCAGGGCTTCATTTCGGCCACTTTTTAACAGCACAACTTGATCTCTACCTGGGAATGACTTGAGTCAAAATCCACACACCAAAATTAAGCAGTCTGAAGTGAGCTCGGCACCCAAAAATGGATTCTTAGTGTAACCAGCACAATGGTCACCATTTAAACAAATTTTCTTTATGCTAGTTTAGCTTCTTTTCCATAAGCATTCAGTTCACTACATACAGAGTTCAGGATTTCACGACTGAGAACAATTTGGTAATCTGGTTCTAGTCTGCTGCTGCTGTTTGCATTACCATTGATATCATAATTATTTCTATTTCAAGCATGCTGGCTTCTGTAACAAGCATGTTAAAATTGTAGCTCCTTGTGTTTTGACCTATACCAAAGAATCCATTGCAGTTGATGGACTCAATGGGTTATATGAAGAAAGTTTTGTTCGCACTAGCAACTATCATTTTGCAGTAATAAAGTCACAACAATGTCCTGGGTTTGAGTGAGTGGTGGGGTTTTTTGGTAGCAGGGGAGGGGGCTATAGGGGTGAACCCCCTGGGAGAAGCTTCTCGAAGCTCCCCCAGCTCCACGTCAGCTCCACCTCTGCACCAAAACTGAGCCCATCAGCTGCGCCTCTGCGATAACGTATTTAAGAAGGGACGTGGTGACGGGCAGTGGGACTGGTGAGGAGGAGTTGCTGCAGCTGCATGAACACCAAGGTCAGTGGAGGAATGGAGGAAGAAAGGGGGGGGGGAGGTGTGCCGGAGCAGAGACCCCCCTGTATCCTGTGGTGAGACGGCAGGGCGGCCCCCCCTGCCACCCATGGAGAGCTAGGGTGGAGCAGACATGGATTTATGGCCTGTGAGGGGCCTCATATACTCAAGTAAGGTGTCTATGCCTGAAGTCAGCCAGGACCCTGTGGGAAGAAGCAGCCCCCACTGCTGTAGTTGGGCACTGGGAGGATTGCAGCATGCGGGGCTGTCCCACACCAGAGCTGCACAGCAAAACACTGAAGCTCATGGGAGGGACTCCAGCTGGAGAAAGTTTGTGGAGGACTGTCTCCTGTGAGAGGGGGACCATGATGGAGCAGGGGGAACAAGTTCCAGAAGCTCCCCCCACAGCAGATGGCAGAAGCAGCAGCAGCACTGCCTGCACCCCCCATTCCCTGCCCCTGCGCCGCTGGGGGAGGAGGTAGAGATATCGGGAGCAGAGCTGAGCCCGGGAAGAAGGGAGGGGTGGGGGGAAGGTGTTCTCAAGATGTGGCAGTGCTTCTCACTGTCCTACTCCGTTACGTGTTGTTAGTGTCCGTAATAAATGTATGGTTTTTGTTCTTCCCCTAACGAGTCTGCCTTTTGCTCGTGACCATCTGTGGTGGTTGGCTGTTAACCCAGCTCAAACCACGACAGACAATAAAATAATGGTTCACACTCAGAGTGTCCAAAGTTACCAATTAGATTTGAGATGGTCCTATTAAGGATGTTTAAATACTATTGTTCCTACTTTATGGACACAAGAACTGAAACACGTAGGATGTAGTTTTTCCAATGGTAACAGTGAGGTTGGGAACAGACTCTGGATTAAATATGGCTTCATTAAGTTACTATAGAAGCTCCATTTGATTTAAAAAGTGTATGAATTTCACTCCCTAAAATTTATGTTTCCTTACTCTGAAATAACAAACAGAAAACCCCTTTTCCATGTTTTTTGCTTTCAGACAGTTCTGAAAAGCTCATGCACCTGTAGAATTCAAATTCCTGCAGTTCCTCGGAAGTCACAGAGTTAGCAGAGGAGCCTGTTTTGCAATCGTTTTCCCAGTGGTGAGGAAACTTCAGTCAGAAGAAGATTTTGGCTGTCATGATATCAGACTGCGGCTGTGCGGAATCAAACACAACAGTTCAGATTGAGGAAGATGAGATGAATGCCAAATTCATGTGACGCCTCATCACTCTGAGAGGGCAAACTCTGTAAAATGACATTATAGGCTGTTGGTAAGCATTCTGCTGGAAACTAGAGCTGGGTCCAAGGAGACAGGGTAATTTTGGCTCCAGTGACTTCAGTTTTTTTGCTTTTTCTGACAGCTGGACATACAGTATTTGCAGGAACTTCCATACTTGCACTGTCTGTTACCTGTCTCTTGAAGAAGCCACACACAAGCTTCACGTGGTTTAAGAGATATAGATTGCCTATGTCTGCATTAGAGGTTGGAAAAAGAAGCACATTTTGTTTGGTTGGTTCACACAACAGGAACTGTTACCAGTTTGTTAATCCTGCGGAGATCCATACTGCCTTCTTGCTTACACCAGTAGATAGGAAAGAGAAAATGAACTGTGACCTCTTCCACCTAGTCCTAACAATAGGGATTTGGTAGTTTCCACATGCAGAGTAGAAGATGGGAGCCATGGCAAAGCACTTAGCCTACTAAGAGGCATCCTACTTCCTTGTGATTGTTTCCTCAGAGCTTTCCCATGGGTGATGGGTTGACCCAGCAGCTAAACACCCACCCAGCTGCTCGCTTACTCCCTGCAAAATGGGATGGGGGAAGAGAATTGAAAGGGCAAAAGGAAGAAAAAACACATGGGTAAATATGAAAACAGTTTTGTAAGTCAAGGAAAGAAAAAAAAGAAAGAAGAAGAAACAAGTGATGGAAAGGCACTCACCAACTCCCACTAGCAGACTGATACCCAGCCAGTGTGCAAGCAATGGCAACTTTGCAAAAAATCCCCCCCCAGTTTTATCACTGAGCATGATGTTATACGGCGTGCAGTATCACTTTGGTCAGCTCACGTCAGCCTACTCGCTGTGGGGGCGGAGCGAGAAACAGAGAAGGCCTTCATGTCCTGCAAGAACTGCTCAGCAATAGCTAAAACAGGGCTATGTTACCAACACTGTTCTGATCACAACCCTAAAACACATTAACCCCATCCCAACCAGACGCATTACACTATCAAAGGCTGCAGAGATACAAGGGAACTTTATCCTTCAAAGAAACATTAATATGGCAGTTGAAAGTACTTCATCTTAGGTGCATTACTTTAATAGTTTTGATTGCCTTAATTTTGCTGAATGTCTATGTGTAAAATTGGAGTGAGGATAACACAGAAGCTAGTATTAAGATAAGAAAACTTACTCAGCAGCAAGGACATTCACATTCTGTAGTAAGAGCAGTTAGTGATTGTCTATGGGTGCATCATCCCCATATTGCCCTTGCATCAACCGACTCTTCTTTGTTCATCTTCTGTGAGGTCAAAGTCATGGTCACCTTCTCCTTGATACTTTATCCAGCCAGAAGAACTGTATAGGTTTGACAATAAAATTTTCAAGGTCTGGTGGCAAGGGTTTAAAAAGTATTTTTGCTTCAACAGTCAGTGCTTAGTCTTTTCTGTATGTGGCACTAAGAATAGGTATTTGTCTCAGAATAATTTTTTTAAAGTTGTACTAGCAAGATCATAGCCTGAAGTATAAAGAGATTTTGGTCAGGTTTTTTTCAGGCTGACTGAAATTTGGCTGACTGCAGATTTTTTACTGGTCCATGGACATAGCTAGTAAAGCTAACTGATAGGTTTAGTAATACTTTAATCCAAAAATTTTCCTAAAGATGGGGAAATAGTCTGCCTTGCATTACAGATAGAAAACCTGGTCCCAAAAGAAATAAAACCATGAAGGACAATGGAACTCTTGGTTCCTGCTGTCATTAGACCATCTGGCTTTCTTTTAAAATTCAGAGTTGCTCAACTTCTTCAGCGCAGTGAGCCAGCAGCCAATGCTGTCATTTCCTATTTGGCTGTAAATACAGTTCTGGAATCTAGATAATTTAGGATTTTGCCACTGAGGCGCAGATGGAGTTAGGAAATAATAAAATTAGAGTGGAAATAAGAAAACCAGAACTTCAGTAACATATCAAGGCTCTCAGCATACAAGTTCTTAGGATTTCCTAAATCTAATTTCACCATAGTTTCACGAAGCTCAGAATCATTCACAGGCAGGAGTAATTAAGAATGTCTTTTGGATCAATTTATTTTTTATCATTTATCGCCCCCCCCCCCATCATTTATTTTGCCAGCTAACAAATATAAATGTATTTAGTCTCTCCTTATAGGATCGTAAGAATGGCTGTAGTAGGTAAGACCAGAGGCCCATCTAGTACACAGTGAAAGAGTACATGAAAGGGGCAATCAGATAGCAGTAATCCCTTCTGTATGCCTTCCCAGCTTCCAGTAATCTGAGTCCTGCAGATTTACTAAGACAGAGGCAGTATTTTGTGTTTAATAGCTGCTAATGTATTTGTATCCCATCATTTTGCCATTTCATATTTCTGAGCTTTGGCTATCCAAGCCTGAATGTTACTGTAATCCTACTATATGGATTTTGAGACGGGTAACTAGAACTGAAAGCAGTATTCAAGTAGTGCGCCACAGTTACATGCAGTACTGTGTAAGTGTGGTTTATGGTTTGTTTTCTTATTCTTTTCCTAAAAAAGCTTGCGCCTCTTGTCCTATTAACTTATTCTGAGCACTGAACTTTTGGTAGAGAACTACTCACAGTAACTTCAAGACATTTTCCTGATTGATTCTAGCTTTTAGAGCTCATCATCATGTCTGTATGGTTTTACCCTCATGTGGATAACACTGCACTTTGGAACGCTGCTTTTCAGCTACCACTCATGCAGTGTCCTGGGAGCCTCTGCAGTACTTTTCAATCACCTTCAGATCTGAATTATCAGATATGCTCTTCAAATGTTGTCACATCATCATTCATTCCTTTCCCCAGCTCACTTGTGAACAGCTCAGCTGTAAGTATGACTCCTTGTGGGATAACCCTTCTGTCACGAAAACGCATGGTTTACTTCTTTCACTTTTTTGACTTTTAAATGGTTAGTCCATGACATGAGGGTCCTTATATCATACAGAATAACAGAGTCATAGAAAAATAGAAAGAAAAACAAGAAATCTAATTTCTAGCTACTTTCCTCATCACGTTAATGCTAGCTTCCCTACAAAATTTCTGGCAGAGTTTTAAAAAAATCTAATGATTTTAATTTTAATCTAATGATTACATAATATCTCCAGACGATTTCATTATATAACTGTCTTTATCACTCAAAGGTTTTCCTACATATAAATCTCACTTGGTACAACTGAAGTTTGTTATTTCTTGTCCTATGTCTCCTACCCAAAGATGATTTATTAAAGCCCTATTGAACATTTGCTGTTGAAAACACTTGTAATAGGGTATCACAATCTATTTGGCTAGGAGCAACACTAAATTTTAATAGTTTTATATACAGAAATTATATATGTTCTATGGACTTGTTCTGAAATACTGTTCTATAGCTATAGCTTGTCTTTAGGATGGATTCTGCCAGTACAGTGGTATAAAACTTATTATCTAATGGAAAACATAACAGTAGAACTTGATACGTTTCAGATTATCTGTTTAGCATAGTTCTATTTCTTCTGTGGGAATGAATTTAACTTCAGAAAGCTATCAGACAGTGCAGTTTTGGTGTATTGTCCTTTCAAAGATAATTAAAGAGACATCTTTTTTTTTCATTACATGCTACTGTCTTTCCCAGTTCATGGAAAAAGATCTGTGCATTCTACAGGGAAGTTTAGAATTATTTTAGCTTCCAAAAACTATAATGACTGGCAAGGAAATAAAGTAGGTGGAATATGGTGGTGCTGGAATGAGGATGCCAACAGTGCAGGTAGACTGAAACTGTGTATACCAACAAAGTCAAGGAAACTCAGTTACACCACCTGTGCAGCTCCAAAGTATGAAATTTTGAGCTGCTATATTCAGAATTAGAGTTTATGCTTTCTCCATATTTATGGGCAACTTTTATGCTTTTAGAATTTAAGACTTTCTCTAAATCTCTGCTTTGGAGGTATTGGCTGGCCCTCCAAGCCAGCTGTCATGCTGATTCTCAAATGTGAACACAATGGCATTAGTTAATAGTATCCTCTGGCTTTTTGTTGTTTGTTTGTTTGTTTGTTTGTTTGTTTGTTGTTTGTTTTTCTGACAAACTGAAGCAAGCCCATATGCTGTACCCCAAGTGAAATAAGCTCATGCATCTCACTTCACAATTCACAGGGAATAAGTGGACATGCTAAGAAAGATATACATATGGTTACACTAGTTGATTAACAATAAGGTTGAGTCATAACTGCTCAAATGATGAACTGTGGCACACTGTGCAATGCAGAATTATTTCACTTTTACTTTGCCATCTCCCACTGTTTTGCAGTTGCTGAATGCTGAATTCCTTGGGCTTTGTCAGGTAACTGTTCAATCTTGCCAGTCTGTAAAGACAAGGTAGGGAATAGCTTTTGTGATTTTGTGAGGGTTTTCTTTTTCTCAGGAAAAAAAAACATAGTGAAAAGCAGTACAGCCTATTTTGAGACCAGGTTCTTGGATTGTACTCAAGAAAAGCAGTAACAGGTTTCTATTTTAGTACTATTTGGATTATGGTACTATAAAAATTAATTAAAAAACAAAACAAAACAAAAACAGAGCTAGCCAAATAATTACATCATGAGAGCAGAAGTCAGGACTCCCATTTTCCATTCCTAGCATGCTCTCTAGATCAACTGAAAAATATTGATAGAACCCCTTAGTTATGTACTTTATTTTCTAAACCTATAAAATAAGGCTAGTACTTTCATTATAGGTGCTTAGAAGTTAACTGACATGAAAGATTCCAAAATTCCGAATTGTACTGGGAATGATAACATCTGAACTTATGGCCAGGTGAAGACTTTCTGATGTATCCCTATTAGAAATTTTCTGACATGCTGTCCTACTTTCATTAGGTTCTTCATGATCTCATACTAATATGTTTAAAAATCCCAAGTATATTTCTATTTTTTTTGGAATAGAACTGTTAGTTTTTCTCTGCTTCTGTAGAGATGATAATACAGTTCATGTGAGACCTCTATTAATTCTACATTTTCTCTACTCTTATTCCTCAAACTCCTGAGATGCATCCCTCTCCGCTCTTGAACAAAGCAACATCAGTTTAAATGGGACTGACGTAAGTAAACACTGTTTGTATATGTTTATTAATGTGCCCCTCAAGACCTACTGGAAAAATGATGTCTTGATCCCTAAGAATCCAAAATTTCCCACTGGATTAACAAGTAGAAGCTTACAAAGAGAGTAGGTTAATAAAAGGTGAAACTACTTTCAGATGTGGCCTAGAAAAATTAAAAAAAAACACCACATATTTTTTGGTCTCACTAGTACACAAAGAGAGAACTATAAGAGATTGCCTACAACAGAAAATACAACATTCCAAGCCAAGGAATGAAGTTAAGACAAGCTGGAAAGAAAACCAACTGGTGTATTCTATGTGCAAGAAAATCTGCAAAGAAGAAAAATGGTCTGCATGTGTCATTTCCTTGACACTGAAGCGTTAAAGACCAAACTCTTCTTTACATTAGAAATTCATGTCTTTTCTGTCGTGGAGAATTGCTTAGAGAACTGGTGAGAATATTCACATTCCTCAAGTTCCAGTCTTGCTTGAAACACCTTTTATCTCCAACAGTCTGGGCACTGTTTAACTGCAGTGACCTGAGGTTTGGAAGAAATGGTGATTCTAACAAGTAACAACCTGGCATCTTCAGTTATGCTGGCAGGCTGAAAAAAATCATGCTTGCAATCTGCAAACCTGTCATTTTCTATTTTCTTTGGTGGGGCTACTCAGACTTTTTGCATCATTACAATTAACAAATGATAGGGCATTACATATTAAAAATGTTACAGTCATTTATCTTCTGACTAGAAGTGAATAATGCAATTAATAAAACCCTTTAAAAAAAGGTGAATGCTATTAAATACGTATCACCGGTATCACAACCATTTTACTAACATGGAAGAGCAATGGAAATGTGACAGGACTGTCCTGTCTCTTTCTCTCGGCCTGTTTGCTGCTGCCCAAAGACCCATCTCTGCTCTGAAAGTGGCTGCCTACTGCTGCTCCTCCTCTGGGAACACCTGGAGAGGAGATGCCAGGCAGCTGTCCTCCAGCAGGCCTAGCAGCATGTGCCCACATAACTAGTCTTCACCTTTTTGAACTTGAAGTGGAATCCTGCCAGGCACTCCAACCTCAAGAAGAGACAAATGTGCCCATTTCCATCCTTTAACCATGAATCGATAAAACTTTGGCATCATGAGAAGGTAGCCTCATTCTTACCAGCCTCTGAGCTGACCTACACTTGGAGCTGCTTAGCTGATTCTATGCTTTTAATGGCTTTTATGTGGCCAACGTAAGGGTTCAGAAACTAGAAAGAGGTCTGCATCACGAGAGAAGGAACTGGGACCCAGATCCCATTCTG